TCTCAAAAAAAAAAAAAAAAAAAACTTTCAACTTCCAGTCCGGAGTGAGCCTCTGGGGCTCTGTAGTTTCTTTACCTTTTGACTTTATTCTCAGTTTTCTAGAAAACATGTCAGTGATTTATGATTGATGCTTTGGCTAATCTATGACCTTGCTAGGGGAGGACAGGAGGGCTCTGCTTCTGGACCTGTGAGAACCATCGTCTGTTCCTCTAGTTTGGCTCTAACTCAAGGCCTCTGCTTTGCCGCTGTCATTTCTGCTCCTGAGTGCATGCTCCCAGGCATACATGGGTGTCCTGGTGAGCGCCCTGTCTTTCCCAGGCAAGGGCTGACCCTCAGGAGTAGAGAGTCCTGATACTGCTCACTTGGCCAAAAAGCACCAGGCTGGTAAAACATTGTTTTCACTATTGATGTAAACACAGGCAGAGTAACAACCCTTTAGGGCGGACATCCCTGAATCCTGCTGCTGGGACTGATTTCCTGTTTAGACATCAAATTCTGTAGGAAGCTGTGTTTTCCCCCAAGCCACGAGAGCTCTGTCCCATGGGTGTTGCTTTTCCACAAGGAAGGGGCTGGGTTTTGGAGTCTGGTGGATGGACCAGGACCATCTGGCCGTCCAGCCTGCGGCTGCCTGTCGTGGATTCAGCAGGGATGTCTTCTTCCTGCAGTATTTGCTCTCTGGTTGTGTCACTGATTGTGAATTCTTACAGTGTTCTTTATGGCCCCTGTCTCTTTGTCATTTAAGAGACTGACCCATATTCCGTAGGTGTGGCTTGGCTGTCCAGCTAAGGGGTCACATCACCTCATTTGTGACCTCACTGGGGGAGGCAGGAGACCTCTCAGCCCTGTTTTTAATGTAGTTCTGAGACGTGGGAACTTACAGAAATTGCCAGCTCTTCATGGCAGTAACCAGTAGATCTGTCAAACCTTATTATTTAAATTTCAACTCAGATCTAAACAACTACAAGGACATTTTAGTAATAATTGTGGTAAAACAGATTTTAGGGCTGGAGAGAGGAAGCTTGTGCATTCAAACATGCCATTTAGTAAAGAAGTTTCAACTGACATATTTTGTTGCCACAGCCAAAGGTGATATTACTGATGTCGTGAAAAGGGAATTGGCCACTCTTAGGAATATTTCTGAGACTGAGTGTGCTTCCCCCGGCTCCTCTTTTGGCTTCAAGGATTTCCATCTGCTCCTTGTCCTGTCCAAAGGATGATGTCACGGACTTTCAAGGACTCTGCTGGGACTGGAGGGTTGGCCGTGCTGCACGATGTGAGGGTACCTGGGCTGCTGGGGCGTCTTGTGCGGGCACTTCCCAGTGTGTTGCCCTGGGTCACCCCTTGCTTACCACAAACATACCAAAGGCCCATCCTGGAGGAAGGGAGCCTCATGGAGAGGTAGTGCCACCTCGTCCTGTTCCCTCACCTCTGAGCCATAGGGCTTCTGAATTGGCACTTCAGTAGGTATAAAATTTTATAAATTTCCAGCTGCTGTCATTCAGTTCGTTTTCTGCAGGCAGATGGCCTTGGATCATGACTGAAGCCGATCGTGTGGGAATCACTGTCTAGAGGGATAGCCAGAATGTTCTGGGAAGTTCCTCCCCCTGTTTCCCCTTCATCAGGGTGGGGAGGAAGAACGTCAGGGTGTTTCACATTTATTGCAGCCAGAGGCTGCCACCTGGGAAGAAAAAAGAGAAACTAGATGAACGAAGAGAACAGAAAAAAGCACGAGCACTGAAGTGCAGAATTTGACGTCACAGGCGTCCTTCACCGATGATGAACACATTTCTCTTACGGACAATTGGTGGAAAGTCACCTATTTTTCAGCTTCTGGTGTACACGTTTTTGGAGGCTGGTGTTTTGTGGTCGTCTTTCCATACAATGTGACAACATCAAGTTTTCAGAATGTTTATATATTAAATTGAATGAAGAGATTGGACAGATTTACTTGGTTTTGGTAAAGGGGCTTGTTTTTCATGATTTATAATTCTTTTTCCTATAAGACCTCATCATTGGACACCTAATAATATGTAAATAAAAATACAAACTCAAATTTCTAGCAAATTTGTGCTACTGCCTTTATCTCCTGTTTTTGAAATGCATTGCATAAGGTACCATATGTTCCAAAAAATGGAATGAAAGTGTCATCATGAAATGGACACATTCATATAATAAATCTTCATTTAATTTCAGACTGCTTAAGATAATTTAAATGGGTTTGAAATAATGATTCCTTTCGATGTATCGTGAGAGTTATTTCATCTGTTAACAGCATTTAAATGTTGATTTCTTCTTTTCTGAAGAAAAAAATACCTCAGTGCACATGATCATAAAATAGGGTAGCATAATTGTGATGCCAAGCTGTCACTGCTCTAAGTCCTACATGGGTAAAGCAGCTTATGCTGATCATTCAGGCCATTAATGGAACTTCATGAAATTCATAACCGATGACCACACCCCCTTTTAAAATGGGTTGACAGGGTCTCTCTCTTTTCTTTTTTGAAGTGTTGGTGTATGAGACTTGGGCTGGCGTGCCCACATGGTGTGGAGTCTGTGTGATTCATGACTGAGGAAACCCGGCCTCCACCCTCTCTCTCCTTGGTAAGTGAGACAATGAAACGGGAAGCGACGAGACCAAAAAAATTACAGATTGAAATATTTTGATAACTTGTGAGCTTTACCTCTCTTATTAAAAACGAGAGTGGGCTGGGCATGATGGCTTAGGCCTGTAATCCCAGCACTTTGAGGCTGAGGCAGGCAGATCACCTGAGGTCAGAAATTCCAGCCTGGTCACATGGTAAAACCCCATCTCTACTAAAAACACAAAAATTAGCCTGGCGTGGTGGTGCGTGCCTGTAATCCCAGCTACTCAGGAGGCTGAAACCCTAGGATTGCTTGAACCCGGGAGGCGGAGGTTGCAGTGAGCCAGGTTGCGCGCCACTGCACTACTCCAGCCTGGGCAATAAGAGCAAAACTCTGTCTCAAAAAAAAAAAAAAAAAAAAAAAAAAAAAGGAAAAAAATGAGAGAAAATGAGCAAGCTTTTAGATACAGAAATCTGTCAAATAAAGCGATTTCGGGCTTATGCCACCACTGCATCACTCAGGAACCCGAAGACCTGAAAATGCTTAGATGCTTCTTAGCATCTTCTGCCTTGCAGTATGGCTGCCCGTCAGGTTTCGGTTTTGTCTCCTGCGGTTACTTCTGTGCTCTCTCCTTCCACTTATTTGCAGTGCGTACCACTGTCATCTCACTTCCTCTTCTGGGACCTTCTGCAGTGCCCTGCGCCTGCTAGGTTAGTGCTAAACCTCTCATGATCCTCTCAGGGATCCTCCTGGTCAGGCCTGCACACAGCTTCCTCATTCCTGTGGCCCTGGGGCAGTGCGGGGACTGGCCCCCCATTTCACAGTGGTCTGTCCACACCACCAATCGTGCTTGTTTGGATCCTCCGGAGGCCGGCTCAGATATGCTGTCTTCACTGGAGCCTTTCTTAAGCACTTTAGACCTAAGCGTTGCCATGAGTTTTAGGGAGACTAGCAGAGAGGGAGGGGTGAAGGGGGATAGAGGGCTAGTGGTCTGGGAGAGGAACAAGTAAGATGAGGGAAGGTGACAGTCTCATTCCAAATACTAGCACTGCAAAGACACTACTGTTGTTAATAAACTTCTTCGTTTTTCTCCCTAACTAAACTACCACCTCATGGTGGACAGGCTTATATTTCTTCCCAATTCCCAAAGTGCTTTGCTGATTTTAGAGAATCCAGAGATTTTCTGAATAATTGGTGACCATTCCAGCCTTCGGATTTATGGGTTCCCAGTTCCTGTTTTCTTCCATGAGGAAGGCTAAATGGGTCTTATAGTTGGGCCCTCTGTATAGATGTATAGATATGCTCGGCTGAGATGAGAGATTCTCCTGTGTAGTCCTTACGTTTTGTGGAAGAAGAAACTGAGATCTGCATTGTGCATGCTTCTCTAGCCCAGTAGATTCAGGTTCACATAGTGTCTTAACTGGACCCCCCCGTTCCCTCTTCCATGGAGAACCACAGCATGTGAGAGCTGGAAGAACCACCACGTGGAGGCTATGCTGGCTTGCTGTGGATGGTCAGCAGTCATCATGATATAATGGAAAGAGTTATTAGCTAATGTAAGTCTTCACTGCGTGCCAGGCCGTGCGCTAAGTGAGATGTTTTCAACAATCATGACAACCTTTCAGGCTTGTATTCTTATGGTTACTGTTTTAAAGATGAGGAAATGGAAGCACGAAGAGTTTAAGTAATCTGCCTGAGATTTGCAGTGAGTTAGGGGCAGAGCTGGGATTTGATTCCATCTTCTTAACCTTTACACAAAACTGCCTCTTAGCACTAAGAATGCCTCCCTAGAATAAGAACAGACGTATATTATATTTTTATTCCTTACTGGAAATACTCAGACCTGTATAGAGAAGCTCAGAAGAGATATTAAGAAGTCAGTAAGATTACTGTTTTTTCAAAACAGTAATCTAAATCAAGAATTGGTGAAATTTTTCTAAAAAGCGTGAGACAACATTTTAGTGCTTACAGGCCATAGCGCCTCTGTTGCATCACTCTGCCATTGTAATATGAAAACAGTCATAGATAGGTAAGTGAATGGGCATAGCAGTGTTACAATAAAACTTTATTACAAAGACAGGTGGCAGGCTGGATTTGGCCTGCAGGCTAAGTAGCTTTCTGAGCTGTGATTAACATGATCTTTGCAGTGCTGAAGATCTCATAGTGTAGTGAATGAGAGTGTTTCAGTGGACAGTAGTTATGAGTCCCTCAGTTCAATTTATCTGAGATGCTTGGATTTTAATTATAACAAATTTTAATGAAGTCTATTGTAACTGCAAACCTTAAACCTTGAAGTAGGTCATTTGATGTCCTACTGCTTGACATAGTCCGTATGTCCCACATATTTTAGTCTAAGTCCCACCTAAACTACAGCTTTTCTCAAATTAGGGCCTCATAAATATTATTTTCTTGATAATTTGTTAGGCTGCTGTGTATAACTCATTTATAAAATAAGTTTAGATAGTACTTCCTACTTTGGTTTTTATATAGTTTCTAAATGTGACACTGTTAGTGTGCATCCATATACGTACTGCCTATTATATATATTAGAGTAAACATGCAATCCCCTTGGGCTGTCTGATAAAATTATGTCGAACAAAAATGTTCTGGTCCCGAATATCCCTCTTTTATTATAAGCAAAGACAGAGTTTGAACAGGATTGACATACTTAAATCATGAAATAACATGGCAGTACCCTTTACCACATAAACACAATGAGATATGTTATTTTAATTTTATTTTTTTATTACAAAAGGATAGTTATGACACTTAAAGGCATATTTAACTCTCTACCATTTACAAAGATTGGAAAAGAAAACTGAAAGATCAATTAATTTGTGTTTCTTTAAGCAATTGAAGCAAGGAAAGGTTGTACTCATTCATTCATTCATTCTTAGAAATCTATAACTGCAGCAAACTCAAGAGCATGGTAGATACAGCACAAGTTTTGGAGATGTGCCTTTATCAGGGAGCCACTGGTCCCTCGGTACTTACTCCATGTGTCATGGCAAAGTGTGCTTCACTTTAATAGCAATGACATAAAAAATAAAATTCTGATCATAAAAGTAATGGCAAGCTATCCTTGACACCTTATTAACTGAAAAAGCAAATTGCGGAATAATATATTTAATATAATCCCATTTCTCTTAAAAATACACAGACATGCACAATCTCTATACACAAGTTCATGTGTATTATAAAGTCTACTAGAATATATATTAATGTATAGCAAACTCTAAACAGAGATTGTCTCTGGAGTACAGGTGTTTGCACTTTATCATCTGTGTGATCACTAATATTTTCAGGAGTATTGTTATTTTTGCGATTAAAAAATAAAAATACATGAATGTAGTGAATGTTCATTATTGAAAATATATAAAAGAAGGGGAAAATTCAACTATAATGCCTCTATCGACAACAATTATAGATGGCATTTAATGTAGTCTTTTACGTGATATTTTTGATAAACAGTTAATGGATTTGAGATAATGCTAGACGTAGAATTCTGCATACTGCTTTTTTACTTATACATACTTTCTTATGTTATTGCAAATTGAAGAAAAACTCCTCATTTTAAGCATGTGTAATATTCCATCATATAAAGGAGCTGTTATGTCAAAAGAGATCTGTTCCTGCTCTCTTCTGCAGAACACATGTTGTTTCCAGTCCACAAAAGCCATAGACCATGCTGAAATGAATATGAGAAGGGTCGTTGGGAGCCTTCACACACCTGAGTTCCAATCCTGCTTTCCCGCTTTGTGCAGGTCGCTGTACTTGCTGCATGAAGTACATGCTTCAAACACCATAGCAGTTGTTATTATAAAGCTTTCTTTTAACTGAGGGTTAATTCATTAGCTCAGAAGAACTATAGTTGATTTACTACATAAAACCCGGGGAGTCATAAAAGTCTGCCTGTTGGCTTTGTAAAAGCATTGTAGATATTTATGCTTCATTTATATGTTGGAGAATTTGTTTTGCTAAAAGTCACTCATTTTGAGTATCATTATTAATTGTTTTGGTCAATTTGATAATATTCATGTTTTTATATGTTTCATTTTTTGCTCATTGTGTTACTTTGCTAATCTTGTTTCAAGTGATAATTAGATATTCTGGGTTGAAGAGAGAGAAAGAGAGGAGGAAGGAGGGAGGGAGGGAAAGAGAGAGAGACACAGACAGAGAGACAGAGAGAGAGAAAGAGAAACAAACATGTATGAGAATTATTTGTCCAGATGGTATAAGTGTTTAGCTATAGAGAATCAACGTTTTTCTTACAGATTGTAAGACTTAATTTTTAAGAATATTAACTAATTATTACATTGTTTTTTCCCTATTTCATTTCCTTGTTTACTTTATCCTTTTAAATTTAAACAAGTTTATTTTAGTGACATCAGAATTTTTCTTGATAATGATTTAAATCAGTGCTTAGGAATTTAATAAAACATTTTCATCTATAAAATGGGAATAGTAAAAATATTAACAAAAATGTCTTTACTTTCTCCTGATCTTATTAAAAATATTTAACTGGTTAATTCAGGAAGAGATATTTAAAATGTAGGTTTGCTTTTTATAATCTTCTTAATGTTTTATTCTGCCTCTCTTTGTCCTTACTGAAAAAAATCAATCCCCAATTGTAATGTATTGTGAATGTTCAGACAATAATATTTGTACAAGTGGGAGAAAATCCCAGCTGGGCACTTCTCCTTCCTACAAATAGAGACCTAGTTTAGAACCAGACAACCTCAGTTTTTTCATTCTTTTATTCATTCTTCTTTGTTAGGGAGAAGGTAACTTTCATATTTTAAGATTGTATACAGCTTACGCCTATATTTTTGCAACTGTATTTCATTTTGTAAAAAATTCATACAACTTGACCCATTATATTGACCATGATTAAATCATAATCACAGTGCTTTGCTTTTTGGCCCATTCTTGTACCTAACTTTGGTACAAGTTTTTAGGTATTTGCATGAAATGTTACATGGTGGGTATGGAAGACCAAGTTAAATCTGTTCAAATCA